CACAAAAGGGCAACAGTTAATTGTTCTTAGTTTCTATGATAAAACTCAGTATCAGCAACTTTATAATACCAAAAGAGCAAGAAAAGAAGACATTTTTTGTGAAACAATGAGCTCGTTACTAATAATTTATCAAACTACTGCAAGGGCAGGATAATAAAAAGTCCAGGTAGCTTTGTGCTCCACCTCCCTCATCACCTCAAAGCCGTGGTTTTAATCTCACCGTGTTTTTAACTGCTCGGGTGTCCTTCAAAGCTCTCGGAATACCCCTGAATGCAGCTAAGCAAGCAATTAGATTTTTTAATTTCCTTCCACGAGAGTCGTTTTGCCGGTGATTTTTTGGTTTTTTTTGGGGAGCTGCTCCTTGACCTCAGGGACACACCTGGGCACGTGCGTGTAGGAGCAGCGCCCTCTGACGGCAAACGGCGGGCAGGGACCACCTGCCTTAATTATTGCAGCGACTTCAATCTGCATTTCACCAAAAATTAACAGATCCAGACCCGCGGATACACACGGATTCACGTTGGTTGCTGTTTGTCATCATATATATCACGTGTGATCATATATATCATATGCAGTCACTGCTGCAAGTGCTGGTGGGGATCGTGCTCAACAAAAATATTCACATCTCAGCAGAGGATTTTGCAGATCTTAATTGCAACATTTTACCCCCAGGACATTCCAAAACACCACACTGTGTCATAGGATGGAAACGGAATAAATAATATCACAATATTAATCTAATAATTTTAAATAGAATAAATTGGAGATGAAACACCTACTTGATTTTCAGCCCAACTGTAAATATGTATCTAAGAGCCTGACTCATTCCCACTAAATGCTTGTAATTTAAGTCACCAATAAGAAGTTTTCTGTGCTCAGTGTTTGAGGGAGAGTGGTAAAACACATGGCTCTCTGCAGTAGGATAATATTCCTCTCTGTGAGTGTTTTAGAGTGGTTCTAAAAAGCTATTAGCCATGATGCTTTTTTCTAATTAACTCTGTATCACAGGGGTAGACAAATCACCTCTTAGTCTGGGCAACAGCTTTCAAAAATCATTTTTTACAAGTGGCAGCTCACAACTGTGCCATTCACAGATCCTCTTGATGTTGTTTAAAAGCAAACACCCCAGAATATCTCTGAGAGCACTGGGCTTGCTGCATAATATTCTATTCCATAAATTAAATCATAGAAGAGCATCCCCATGTGAGACCATTGGGCATGTGGACCACAGTGCTGTGCTAAATTTGGGAACATAATTGATTTTTGGAGGGATGCCTGTGCCTATTAACTTAGTTTTCTAAAAGCATACTTTGCTAAAAATGTCCTCTTCACGTTCAACTGTTTATTTAAGTGGAGCAGCAGTTACAGAACAGAAATTTGGAAGAACCAAAACTTAACCTTGCACAGCTTGAACATTCCCAGGGCAGAGAGAAGAGGAGGGAAGGGTTGATTTGATGGACAGGACTCAGGATACTCCTAGGAGAGGGTTGTGGAAATGCTTGATATCTCTTGTTTCCCTCAGGGAAACAGCTTGACCACATAGAAAAGAAAGGCTGTGCTCCAGAAGAACTTGTAGCTGACATTTGGGATCTACAAGACATGGAAATATCTCCACATGGAAAGGAGGGAGCTGAATTTGTCCCCCACATTCCAAAGTGCTCCCAGCAGGAAGTGCAACTCAACATTCCCTGCCAAACCACATCAGAAAAATAAGATGTAAATGACACCTAAGTTTGTGCAGGATTCTGATTCTCCTTCAGTAGAAGCCCTATTTTTTAAATTCTGACACTGATTTCTGCTCAGGGCCAGCACTCATGTGGCAGGATTGCTTTTGCAAAAAAAAAAAACAAAAAACAAAAAAAAAAAATCAGCTAAAAAGGAGCATCAAAACAAAGTGAAAGCATTTGTCACTTATTCCCAACAATCCTGTTATTATTGGAAAACAGAATGTGTTCTTGCAGCTTCACAGAATTTTAAGAAATGGCAAGAGAATGAACAACTGAAAGGCCATTTTTATCAATACAATTCCTTTCACTTCTGCTCTCATCTTTGGGTCATACCCAAAACTCCACAAGCTCCAGTTTGCTCATCTCCTCCCCCTGATTTTCCTGAGATTACTGACCAGGCACATTCCCATGTATAACTTCTACTTTTGCTGGATTGGGATCTTGAGTCCTAAACCTGTTACACTGCAGGTTTGTTTTTTCCCAGTACCATCACTTGAAATGTTTTGATCCTTATATATCAATGCCAAAAATTAGGACTTTATGTGGTGTTTTCACTTAAAATATTTCTTTTCTTTAGGTTTAACACACATTAATTATAACAGTGCAAAGCAAGGCATATAACAAGCCCATAAGTTGATATAAGTTACTTACAGGAGCAGATTTTTTCTTAGTTATAAGTGGCAGCCTGGTCTCATCATTCTGATGTTTTACACCAGCTTTATTTTCCATGTTCTCTGGGTCAAGCATGATTTTAATATCCATTTCCACCTGCTGCTGAAATATAGAATAGGCATAATCTTAAAATAACTGCACCAGGACAGAAGTGCAGAAGGAGTTGTCTAATATGTCTAATAAATTTGCAAAATAATGATAAAAATTCATGTTATTTGACTCCACACAGCACTGGGCAAACAAAGTGCTCAATGGAAAACTTTACAAGGATTACAACTACTACCCACAGATACACTTTTGCCAAACTTTGTCCAGTTAATTCCAGTCCAAGCTCTGAAATTTCCACACCTGTGGAAATTTATTAAAACCAAAAGCCATGCCCAATGTTTTTATGGCAGTAGAGGTTTCTTAAGTTGAAAAAGTTTTGGTTCATATTCTACTGCATAAACATAAAAATAAATCTATGAAAATTCCACTTTTTACAAACAAAACCTGCCACAAAAACTTCAAGAATCATTAGATGTGCATTTGAACAATTAAACACTTGTATTACTTTGTGAAAGCACTTAAAATGGCTTAATTTATTTATCTGCACAACATCTTCTTTTGGTAGTAATTACAAGCAGATGTATCAATGAGATGCTCATTTAGATTTGGGGTTGTAAGAACAAAAGTTATTATCCAAGCCAATTACTCTTTTACCCACATGGCTGCACAGAGACAGAAAGTTCAATTTTCACCTCCTCAGTGCTTTTGTGGTATTTATTTTCTTACTGTAACACACCGTTCTGCAGAGAGGAAACTGCTGGTGCCATTAAAAAAGGGAACTGAGCACCTTCTCAATTAAAACAGGAGATGATTCACAATGCAAAGGCCCCTCTCTGACAGGGAGATGATCAGGGCAGGAGTGGAAGACACCTCTTTGTGGTTCCCAGGCTTTATTAGGAGGAAAAACCCAATTCCACCACATAGCAGGGGAAAAAAAAAAGGTAAGAGGGACAGTGCATCCCAAATCCCCCTGAGCTGGGTTTGCAGACTTATCCTGCTGCTGCTAAGACTCAGAAATAACAATATTAAACAATATTTCTAAGCCTGTTCTGACACCTGTGGACAAGGTACTGCCCATATGACAAGTTTTGATGTGAAAACAGCACCTGGGCTTTTTTGGCTGCAACTTGGTTTTCCCCCAGCTCCTGCAAACATCACTTATGCTCCATGTTACTCATTTAATGGGGTCTCTGGCAGAATAATTAGGGTGTTATTTCAGACCTGGGAACCTTGAGACACACGTGGTGATGCTCTGCTGCATGTCTGGACAGTCACAGGCTCAACAGGGACTCGAGGCAAAACCAGCTGCTTCTGAGAAGCCCCAGAAGGAAGAGCCCTGGTTTAGAAAGAAAAACAGTGAGGTTTTTTTAAATTACATTGATTTCACCTATTAAACCCATACTGCTTTCATCTGATTGGATCCAAAAGACTCTATTTTATTTACATCTGCATTTAGCAAAAATAAAGCCACAGCAATTAGCAGAATGCTGCTGTAGCTTCTCAGAACTAGATTTACTTTTGCATTGTTTTTTTACCTTAAAATGAAACCAAAATAGCACATGACCAAACTAACTTCATCCAGGTCAATTCTCCCACTTGCTTTACAAAATTCTGTTACATTTTCTGTGTCTTGCTGCAATAAAACAGCTGCTTCACTTACCATTTAGGGGCCTCTTTTGAATTTACTTCTTTATTACCAGCAGAACAAACAGGTAACACTTGTCCACTTACAGCATTTAAATAATTTTCAGCACATTTCTGTTAAGAGGGGGAAAAATAATGTTTAGGCTACTACAAAGATAAGAGGGATATTAAATTTAACTCGGTTAATTCAGCAAACCAGATCTCCACTTGACTGAAAAGTTGATAAACTTTGTGCCTCTGTTGGACTAAAAATCTGATTTTGGCTGATGGGCACGAGATCAATTCATTCTGATGACCCAAAAAATTGAAGCCAACGTTCTGAACTGTAATATCTGAGGAATCCCATTATTTGCTGATTAGAAAGGGATCCTGCAGGATGACAGATAAGTGGCTCCAAGTGAGTTACTGACAGAGACCTCAAAAACTGAATAATCTTCTGGGTCTGCTCTATTTTACTTACTCTCAGCCCAAGCTCAGTTCTTTCAGGTGCTGTTCTGAGGTCACTGATATCCACAGCTTCTGTTGTTCCTTTCAGGTTCATATTTTCCATTTTAAGTTTGTGAAGGTCTTCTTGAACCTAAAAAAAACAGGTTAGAACAAAAATTATACCTGTAACCAAGCCTCACGGGATTAGAGAGAAGGATTTAATCCAAATTAAATGCTTCTTAAATACAAGGAAAAAAAAATACATGTGCTCTCCCATACTTTTGTACTATTATAAATAAGAGAATACTAAGCCAATTACTTAGTCATTGACTCTAGAACAGTTGGGGAAAAAATCAATTTGAAAACGAACCTCACAAAGCAACGGGAATAAACTTCAGGACTGAGGTTCTCTATTTCCTTACACATTTCACACACGTCTCGCAGCACAGGTGGCTTCACTGGGCAGGGACCTCAAAACCCTCAATGAAGGACTTAAAACTCGGGGCAGCCTGTGAGGAAACCACATCAAAAACGCGTATTTGCCTTAACTAAACAATTTCGAGGTCTCGCTAGGCTAAACCCCACAGCATTTACGCAGCATTTCCACAGCC